TTTATAAGATACTTTCTATGACTGTTAAACATCTTGAGAAAAAGGTTTCATAATTTATTTTCCATTCTAAGGACACTCAAGTATCTTCAGCACTGTCAATAATTTCTACATTTACCTGGTATCACCTTATATGATCAAATCAATTTGATATATGTGTTCATTGAACAAACTTCTTCATATCTCATTTATTCACATTTTCATGAATGACGATACTTCCTACAGCATGACTCTTACTATTTAAAAGTTGTCGCTTCTATATACTGACTCCTTAAATTGTAATCACTGAAAACAGGATTCAGCACTTTTCATTTTGAAGTTTTTGTGTTCAGCATCATCCCAGAACTCTTTGATCCCGAGTGATTTTCTGGGTGGTTTTCATATGTGTATAAAAAAAAACTTTTTTATCCCCAAAACTACTTAAATTGAAATTAGACAGTCATAGTTTAACAAGTATAGTTTCATTGTATTAGAAAGTGACTCAGCAGCAAGACTGATATCTGTGATACAGTTTTCTGCATCTAACCATTACACAGACCCTCTTCAAAAAAAATATCACTATTCAGAAATTTCATAAGCTTTTTTCACGTGAGATTTTTTCAAATACTTTCCACAGGAATGATTTCAATCTTGATAATTCAAGGTTGCAAGTCTTCTTTAGCCTGCTGATAAACGCTTTTCTCAGAAAACTCATTTTCCAGATTGTTTCAACAGGTTCACTACCACCTACCCAGTAATTTTATCTTGAAAATCACCTACTGAAATAGAATTGTAGTTTTTCTTTATTTCCTTCATGATCGCAATTCGGATAGATCTTGGACTTTCCACGACCGGACACCTATTTAAGATAATTTACTGACGTACTACTTTCCAATATCTTCCTGGATGTATGTGAGTATTAGTTGACATCAGTAGTAGCACCTACCGTATACGGCACTTCCTTAGTGTTCTTAAGTAAGAAATCCTTCCTAAGGAAAAAAATATCATCCTCGACGACAAGGATGCTAACTGAAGAAGTTGCGGCATTGTTGAACACTAACAATATGAAGTTGAAAGGACCAGATAACTTCCAGAAACCAGACCTATTCTATCACAAATAAGAATGGATATTGAACAAATTTACCGATTATTGAATTACACTGTAGATACTTATATAACAGCTGGTCATAGCAATACATTTTCAACGTTTTAAAGATTTATGCTCAACTTGAGAACTTATGTGGTACGACAAACTTATAATTACAAAATATAAAATTACTTCTTGGTGGATAACACTTATAAAGGGAAGCATCAACTGGAATGGAATTAAATCCGGTGAAACATAACTAAACTTGCATTCTAGACTCATTTACTAATAAACATGACTGAAATCACTGTCATATTATCTTTGAAATGAAAGTCAAAAATAGTTAAACATGAGTGGTTTGCATTTTATATGATCATGTATATATTTTACGATATAAATTCATATTTAGTAGTAGCATCTAAAACACGTGCTTCACACTATTCGGGACTCGTCAGCTACATACACTGAAACCCAACTGAAGTTAAGAGTAAATAGTCATCCTTGCAAACAACTTGGAAATTTCAGTTACATTATTTAATCACCATTATCCCATTTTATTCGACTGGTACCAGTTATTATTACAGTTTAGTGCTTCTCACTGTTAGGCAGGTTCTGTTGGTAACACTCCTCTCACAGATGGGTGGTTTCATTGTTGACTACATTCTGAGCTAATTATCACACAGATCCATACATATTAGGCTAACTTATTCAATATGCCGTTAGTATTGTCAGTATCAAAAATACTGTGGAGAAAATGTAGAAATATGCAATCAACTGATACTTGGGCAGTTGCATAAACCCGAACGAGCTGGTTGCTGACAAAATCTCAGCTCGGATACGAAAGGATTGTTTAGTATTTACCAACTTGTGTCATCTATGGCACCCCTGAGATATCCGACTATCTATCAAAAGACGACTACACAACGCTGAAGTCCATTCTATCCTGTTGTAAGGATAGGAGACATGATTGTTAAAAGTAGAAGACACGAAGTGGTTACAGGGTTCTGACCATAGATCTCTTCGTAACAATGCTCGCATTTGGTGGAATCAGCATGTGAGCAGTATTGAGGTCAGGCGAAGGGTACTAGGCGAGTCGATTGACGAGGTTGTGAACCTTAGTCGACCAAGGTGGCTTGGACACATACTGCGCATGACGAGCGACTACCGACCTCGAAGTTGGATTAGGTTAGAAAAGAGGGTTCAGCACGGCCATACCAACATACAGCACGAGTCAATAAAATCCCTCATTGTTCGTTTGAGGAGATGCAGACTACCTGGTTGGGTTTCCGAAACGAATAAGTGGTTAAGGACTCTTGATGACATGGTTGAAAATCAGTCAATCACTCCTTAAGCTTAAATATTCACAATAACCTTCACCTTCAAATCGTTCATCCTCTCCCACTAATACACCTAATTTGATATCAGTCTTTTTCTATCCATCTGTTCTCTGTGTGACAACTTGAGCTGATGTATGTATGTGCGAGGTTTTACATTAGTTTATTTTTTAGCAATCAATGAAGCAGTGGTATATCTACTATTTGCCAAACGACAGTCTAGAATAACTTTTGCGTACGTTACGTTGTAACAGTTAAGTGTTAGTGCTGCAGAACGAAATATCTAGATACATTTTTCAGGATCTTAGTATTTGATAAAGAATCAATTGTAGAAAGTCACTGCGTGAGAAAAGGGTGATTGCATTGTTTGTTTCTGGAAACTGAAATTCGTATTGAAAGAAGCAAAACACCAGTATGCAGGAAGGAATGTTTATTGTCAACAAGCGGGACAGGAGTCCCTAAATATGGTACACTTTGCACTAAAACTGTCATTTGCAAAATATGCTTCATTTCCTCTCCTGCTTCTTTCTTGATTTGCTCTTCATACACCTGCTTTGTCTTTCGCGCTTCTCTTGGCGGAATCCTTACCCATTGCTGGTAATTCCATATGATTTCTGTTACCCTGTCAACATATACTACTTATATCTATTGTTATCAGCAACGCCCACTACAGTATGACAATTTAAGTAAGGTTGTACTAAACATTAACCATTTTGTTCCACTAAGCTTCATGTTTCAATGATATGTTCTATCATTCTCGACTTCATAGTTTGATTACTCTTCAGAATGTATGTGTCACCATATGACGTGACGTAATCATCCATGTAATGATGAGGTTTGTTTTGAAGTATAAGTCTCTTTTTTCTCGATAATATTGAGCTTGACTGTATAGTATATCTTTATTTCAGTAACTGACATAAGCCTTCATCTTAGAAGCATGCTGTTTCGTTCCCTCTAACATGGCAGAGTAACGTAAATATGCTTCTCTCTGTTGATATGCTTTTATTAAGACTGATAAACTGAAGACGATATGCATTTAGGATATATATATATATATATATATATATATATATATATATATATATATATATATATAAACATTTTACTTAACCTTATTTGTTTAGTGAACAGAATTTCCTGATAAATATTAATGTAACATCATGTTACAAAATATTTTTTACATTTTAGAAATAATTTCAACCGAAAAATCCTTTAGACACCTTTATATAAAATAAACAAAAACAAAGGCATATTTTTTATTGTCTAAACAAATGCACTTTATCGGTTAACAAATAAATATGCATATATGAAGTATAGTGTAACCTACTACTTACATTTTTGGAAGGCTGAGGGAGAGGGAGGGGGGGCGCGGCTAAACATTTTATGCACAATATTAATTCTTAAATTTCATTTTCTAAGATGAACATTTACAAATAGATTTTGTTTAAAAAACAAACAAAAAAAAACAAGAAAACAATAATCATCATCATCATAACAATTTGATTTGATGCTAAAACGCAAACAGTTCAATGTTACATAAATGCACAGTTAATCTAGTAGGAGGAGTATAGGTAGTATAGTAGTATAACTGATGTTTTGCAATCAATTCAAACTTATGCACAAAAGATATCTACTTGAAAGAGAAAAGATAAAAATCAAAGGAAAAAAAAAGTCATAAATTAGGCTTAAAAGGTAACAAAAACAAATTATTCCATTAGATAAAAGATAAAATATAATTGAACCGAAAAAAAAATATCCAGATTATAGGCTAAATATTTTGTCGGGTTTTCTTCTCTCTCTCTCCGTCAAGATGGCCTTTTTTCCTAGATAAGGCGCAAGTAGGAGATCATGGAACAATACCAACAACAACAAAAAAAGTACATAGCAGAAAATAGAAAAACAAAATAGGAAGAAAAGATTAATTCTGACAACAATAAACAACAACAGAAAATAAATAAAACACTTTCTGATTGAGACAAGAAATGCAAAGTAAACCAAAGAAGAAATAACACAGCTTGATACATTTTACAATTATAATTAGATCATTGTCATTCATAACATTTGGGGTAAAAAGATTAAAAAGCAAAAATAACAACAACAAGAAGAAGAAAAAACAGTGAAACGTTTTTGTTGTTAGTTTTTTTAATTGTTGGCCTATTATTAAAGTAAAACAGTTTCATAAATAAATAAATAAATAAATGTATATGACTAGCAAAATGATAAATGTAAAATTCATTGGTATGAAGTAGGATATACTAAAACAGAACACTTTGGTATCCATTATAATCAAGGGGGGGGGGGATAAGTTGAATTTCATTGATAGTATACAGTCATGATCGAAAGCAATAGTCCTTGAAGAACCTGATCATATATATATATATATATATATATATATATATATATATATATAAAACTTCGTCATGGTATCGGACTTTTGAAACTCATGAAATCAAACTGAAATGAAAAACATTATCAATACAATTGCAAAAAGCATTCACAATTACTTCGAACTACTGTTGCAAATCAGTAGTATGGTGATAACTACTTATATATATATATATATATATATATATATATATATATATATATATTCTAGGCATTCATTAAGTGGTTGCACTTAAAACAGCACGCATAGCTAATGTTTGTAGTTGGCATATTGCAACATAATTTGATGGTAAATCAGAATCGGTTTCTTCATGGCCTACAAAATTATCGCTTTGATTATTATTGGTAGTAGTAGTAGTAGTAGTAGTAGTAGTAGTAGTAGTAGTAGTACTATTATTACCACTACTTGATACTGTGTGTCTTGAGTAGTGATTTTGACAAGATGATTCTATCATATGTGAATGTAGTGTATCGGTTAGTGTCCCATAAATACGTGAACAATAATTATCAGTAGTGTTGTCATGATTACTGTGACAGTTATTATTCATGATGCAACATCTTTGAATATGACCAGAACTAGAATATGAATTATGCACATCATGAGTACTAGAATCTACTGTATCAGAATAACTTTCATTTCTGTAATGATTAGTTTCTGATACGATTGGACCAAAATCTAAAGTGGCATAATGTAGCATACTTGTTGGTCTTTCACATTGCCTATGATAATTTAAGTTGTTTATCCTACGTGGAACAGTCGTCATTGATGTTGTGGAAGTAGCAGTTGTACTAGTAACCACAATTAGCGATACAGATGATGATGATGATGACGGTTGATTTTTTATATTGTGAATCGAAGGTTCTTTAAAATGAGAATTATTACACTGTGATTCATGCATTACATTATCCCGTAGTATAGTATGTTTTGAAGTATTAAAAGATAAGCAATTCGATGCAAAATCACTTGGAAGACATGATACACTGGATGAATGCATACATTTTTGTTTACATTCAATGGGTATTGAGGATGTTATTGTCTGAGATGTACACAATCCTGTGCACTGGAGATGAGTTAAAGCCTATAACAGGAAAAGAAAGTCAAACAATTAGAACATATAGGTTGATATAAGTTTTAAAACAAATTAATTAACTTACATATTCCCCCCCCCCGAAAAAAACGCTAAGGTGCTATAGTGAACTGATAAGAAAACGATAACATTGTTACTGTAAATGTATGCATATTCATGAACTGGTTAAAGCCATTGTCAAAAATGCATATCATTTTGACTATCTAAGATGGTCGTAGTTTCGCAGACTAGTACTGATACTTGGTGATGAAGGCGGAATTAAAATTTGGACGAATTCATATGGCAGTCAAGCAAAACCCATGGTTATCGAAATGAAATAAAAATCTGGTGAGCAGTCGGACCTTGGAGCTCAGTTGGTAGAGCATCAGGTAGGAAACTAGGTGGTTGATGGTTCGAATACGGCAATAGTTCAAATTTTTAACCATCAAAAATGAATAGAAACCTAGAATAGATGCTACGTAGATTAGTGGTTTACAAGAAAGTATAGATAATAGTGATTTACTATGTACGACATCATAGGAATGAATGATGAACGTTCTGCTATGAATTATTGAGTTTCCTGAGAACATCTTAAACACCATTAACCACGGTAACTCGTGAACCACATTAAGTTAAAAACTGGTTTACAGCACGGTCAATTAGTCAATATCAACATAGGACCAGGCATTACTGCGTAACCCTCCTAGTTGCTACAGCTCATATCAGTACATCAAGTAGAAAGGTAGTGAAGTGAAGGAGGAAGATAAAAGAATGCCGTCAAAAGAAATATAAAGTACGAGAAGAAAGAAAAGAGGTGTGACAAAACGGTGAGATTCTGTATAGCGTCATTAAGATGAGGATAATGTGTGTATAACGTCTGCGCCACTGACATCGGTCCTGAGTCATATCACCTACAGTCTCCAACCACTGATTTCTCTTGTCCCGTGGACCCCAACCACCTAGTCTGCATCGCCCCACATGGCTCATACCAACAGTCAGAGACTTCATACATTGGTGCCATGTTTTAGTCTGGTCACCTCAAGCTTTTTTCCAGCCTGGACCTACTTCAACCAACATTGTGTGACGAGGCAATCGGTGACTGGGCATACGTAGTACGTGTCCCAACCATCTCAATCGATGAGGGTTCATAACCTCGTAAACTGATTTACCTCTTCTCCCTAAAACTCTACACCTGACTTCTGTGTTACTCACGTGGTGACACCACGGAATACGAAGGCGACGGTGGTCAAACACTTGAGTAAATGAATTCGAAAAGTAACGCACACATTAGGACGTTAAACAAACGGACAAATACTTCAAATAGCTAACACTTAGCCTTCGACAAGATATACGGGTGGGAGTATATTCAAAATGATTCCATAAGAAAATTTCACTCTAAGGTATATGAATGATAGAAACATACATTAGGCCGGATGATACGTTATGCTACACATCATGGTGTTGCGCATATTTTGAAGACCTGTAGGATGAAATAATCGTTACCGCTAACTAATATTCTAAATTCAATCGTTTTATTAAAAATATTTATACTGGGTGATGGTTGAAGGTGAAATGAAAATTTTGACCGCAGCCGGACTCGAACCAGAAAACACTGAGTATCCCGCCCGATGTTCTACCAACTGAGTTACGAGGTCCGACTACTGACTAGATTTTTATTTTACTCCAACCACTTTTGTGGTATAAATACTAGTCTGTCAAACTACGGGTATCACAGATAGTCCAAATGGTAATCAATATGATGCTATCCCTTTCTAGTTCAATTAGATCTGGATGAGAAGTCCTGCCTAGGCAGCCAGTGCAAATACAATCAAGCGATAGTAAGACATCATGAATTCATATGGTAGTCGGGTAGAACCCATAGTAATTGCAGTCGGACCTCGAAGCTCAGTTAGTTTAGCATCAGGCCAGAAACCCGTTGGTCGCTGGTTCGAATCCGGCAGCCGTTCAAATTTTCATTTCACCTTTATTCATCACCTAAGTCTGCCAAACCACACCTATTTCAGATAGTCAAAATGATGCTAAAAAAAAAATATTATCGTTGTGAAAAACAGAAGTAGAAAGTAGAGAATTGCTTACCTCAGGACTTGATAAATTATAATACGGTGAATATTCTGTAATCATACCCAATATACCAGATTTTTTCGATCACTACTTCTATCCGACGAATTGCTAAGATTACGATGTATCTTGCACAAATAATCAGATGATAATCTTTTCTGTGAATGAAATAAATTTTCTTCATGATTTTTCTCATCACCAGGAGCAGCAATGATAACAGCAATATCTTGATCAACATCATTACGCCCATGATGACTTGTACTGCTATCATTATTAAAGCAGTTGGTAGCAGCAACGTTACAAGTATTTGGATTAGGTAGACTAGCATGTCTAGAGTGTAAATACATTTTTGATGATGTAGACAATGATGGTAATCTGGGTAGGATTAAAGTTTGAGACTTATTTTTACATTTCTTCATGATATCATTATCTTTCAAGTTACCATTAGTACTATTGTTATTCAATGTAATTAAAGTAGGTTTATCTATCATTTCTATAAACTTTATATCTGATGACACTGTTTTTGTCTGTTTGACTAGAATAGGTGAATTTGACAAGTTGTAATATGTGATTGTTTATGATTTTCTTCAATGATTCCCGATGTTTTTATTAAAGGTTTTCACTATTTTCATCTAATGTTTGTGTTTCTTGAAAATTTTTTCCATCTTCTTTATTATCTTTGTCAATTTTAGCTATATCTACATTTTCTTGACCACTATTTTTATAAGTTAGTTTATGTTCACCTTTTTCAAGTTCATTTTCTTCAGATAATTTTAATGAATTTAATCTTTGATGAGTAAGACAAAGGGATGATATTGTTGATGATGTAACTGTCGGTGTTGGTGGAGGTCGTTTTAACAATGTATGCCGGTTACTATCATCAAGAGTATCAATGATACTTTCATCATTATTACTATTATTAATAACAATTATATTATCATATATTTTTTGATGATAAACATTTTGTTCTTGGATTATATCACAGTATGACGAATTATTGTATACAGGCGGCAATGGTGCTTCAGGCAGATTCGATATATCATCATCATCCTCATCATCATCTACAACAGTAGATGTACTGAACTTTTCAGTAATATCAACAATTTTATCATCATCTATATCTTCATTATGACAATGTTGACGGTGATGATTTGATCTATGAACACGAAAATGGTTAGTAATATGACTATCATGATCATGATTTATAGGCTGACGATGTTGACAACAATCTCCAACTCCAGGATGATGATGATGATGATGAGCACACTGACAACCACAAATATCAACACCATTAGAAGTAGGATCATCATTCCAACTAGTTGGATTCATCAATGAAATATCACTTAGTTGAGGACATGAATACTTAAAATTATATCCTAATTGATTATCATGATTTTGTTGATTATTAATATTAGTTAATCGGTTATTATTATTACTATTATTATTCTCATTATTACTGAAAGGTGTATTCTGTAACTGAAGCCAATGTAAACAATTCGATGAAACACGATCATGACGTGCTTGTCTTTGCTGGATCTTATTATTTTTATTGTTATAAGTAGACTTGATAGTTTGTTCTTGAAGAAAATCAAATTCTATATCATCAAATGAAAAAGCTAAATTATTACGTTCTGAAAAAATTGATGGAATTTGTTGACTTCTATGGTGTAGTAAAGTATTCTTTCTACTATTATCTATACTATCAGTTTTAGTTAAATTTTCACATTGATCATTAACTGAATTCTGTAAAACAACTGTAGAAGTGAGAGTAGATGATGATTGAGATTGTTTATGAAAAAATTTATTCAATGGCATAATCAATGACATTTTCCCACTATTATTATTATTACTATTATTATTGCCAATAGATGTACGCAGTAATGAACGATTTCCCAAAGCTGTTGCTGCCGATGATAAAGATGAATGATGAACTGATAAACTATCACGACGATGATGGACACACATCTATACATCAAATCATAATACCAAAAAAGAAAAAAAGAAGGAGAAAATCTACTAAATTTTAAATCGATATGAATCAAGAGATCTTGTCAGATCACAAAGAAAAAAAAACTATCATGTTTGTAATTAAAACCATAAATAATTGATATCAAAAAATTGTGCCCCCATTGGCTTATGGGATAACACTTTGGTGTTTGAAGCGAAGGGTACCGGGTTCGAGCTTTAGTGCGGGGTGGGGTATAAATACATCTAGCTGACGAGTCCCAAATAGGACGAAACATACGTCCTAGATTCTTCTGCTAGTCACCAAGATCAATATAAAATAAAATCTATCTACAGAACATAAAATATATAAATAATGATCGAGGAGTAGTAAGTTAGTTAACAAACAATTGACTTACACTTTGTAAATACATCAATCTCATAGCATTAATAATATTCAACAGATTGTCGAATATTCTTTAATATTGGAGACATACAACAAATATCATTTATATAAGCGTACTACGTTTTAGATAATGTTTTCGGTTATTTAACCTGGTATATGATAACATTTAAAACAAGATCTGATAAATAATTGCACAGAATATCTTAATCAACAAAAGCAACAGAATACCTTTGTTCCTCCAACTGATGTCAGTCAGTCTACGATGAATAACAACTTGAAATATTTCCAAATCTCCACAACCCCCTCAAAAAAATTTAATTGAACTGGTGTTCATTGGTGACTAGCTTCAAGAAGTATTCCCGAAGTTCCAATGACAAGTCGTGACCGGTGGAGTCAAAGCCCGATGGCCATGAGGACAGTTACTCAACTATGATATTGGGTGGCGGTTGCGCTATATATCGTGAGCTAACAGAAGTTGGAAATATGGACCATTCGATTCTGACCCAGTGGCTAGCTCAATGGTAACGTGCTGGCCAAGGAACCTGAAGGTCGCGGGTTCGATCCCTGCTGGTGGGGTCGTGGGTGCGCACTGCTGAGGAGTCCCATGCTAGTGGGACGAGACAGCTGTCCAGTGCTCCCAGGTTTCCTTTGTTCCTCCAACTGATGTCAGTCTTCGATGAATAACAACTTAGAATGCCAATAAATAAAACAGTAACAACTCGTTGATATGAATGAATACCTAATAACTTATATTTTAGATTGCTATAATAGTCAAACCTGTGGGAAATACATGTTAGATTGTTTAAAATAGTCGATAGGTAAACTGAAACCGATGGTATAATTTTAGCAATTTTTAAGGATGGATAATTTTTGTTGCAATACGGTGAGCTTTCACTGTGTTATACTATACTATACTATATATATATATATATATATATATATATATATATATATATATATCCGGAATTAAATTCTATTACAGTGGACAAAGTATAGCTATACAACTTTCAGTAAATTTGTATTACTTTTTCGAAAACAGAATACAGAAAGGTGTTACCACGCGATTATTACTCTCGGTTGTGTTTGACAAGGTTTTGGACTATACTGGGCAACATATTTTATAGACTATGCACCCAAAAGCTAACATATTTTAACGCTAAACAACAATCTTTCATCCCATGATGTTAAATCATGAACTTACTACTTCTATCTCCTCCGATTAGTTCTCAAGTCAGTAAGTAGTAAGAGGTATAGTAAAAACTGGAGGTAGCAGGCGTAAAACGTATCCAAGCCATAAAAACCTTTATTGCACGATCCCTACAGTATGACAATCTGCACTTTGGTTAGGCACGTACCACTATACCTCAGAATTATCTTCATGCTATTATCACTGGGATTAGATGATCCATAAGGAGGAACTCGACAAAGAGGGTTGTCCAATATGTCATGGTCGTGGAGACTATGTTCCACTAGAAAGCAAATATACCATCACCAACACACAAGTACTTCAAAACTGATGAATAAAATGTATAACAATATTTTAAAATAGATGATCCAGTTAGTATACAAACATTACTAACCGCTCGTAAGTCAAAGGACATAACTGTACAACTATTTCATGCAAAAAAAAAGGTGGAATCGAAAGTTGGAAATGAACTACTACTAGATGTTAAAAGACTACTCAGTGTGAACCTTAAGTGATATAAAAGCATACACGTGAAGTAGTATCTACGTACATATCAGCTAATCTACAGAGAACTACCATTTATCAAATAATATTTTGTTTTTATTCAATAAATTTGTAACTAATCTAGCTCTGTTAGTGAAAAAATTAATAGAGTTAATCAACATATGGTTATAGTGTAAAATATGTACATATAAAAAGTAATTACATCCCTTAATTTTGTATGTCCACAGTTGATAAATAAACCGAATGAAACTTCATAGTTAAGGAACTATAGGCTTCCAAAGAGGGAGGGTGGGACACAGAGAGAGACATAAATGGTAGGATCATACAATAGAGAAGTTGTTATTAACCCTTTACAGTTGATCAGTTTGTTCATAATTTTCAACTACTCAATTTCAAGTTGTTATTCATCGTAGACTGACATCATTTGGAGGAACAAAGGAAACCTGGGAGCACTGGACAGCTGTCTCGTCCCACTAGCATGGGACTCCTCAGCAGTGCGCACCCACGACCCCACCAGCAGGGATCGAACCCGCGACCTTCAGGTTCCTTGGCCAGCGCGTTACCATTGAGCTAGCCACCGGGTCAGAATCCAATGCTCCATATTTCCAACTTCTGTTGAGGTGGGGTCGTGGGTGCGCACTGCTGAGGAGTCCTATACTAGGACGAAACAGCTGTCCAGTGCTCCCAGGTTTCCTTTGTTCCTCCAACTGATGTCAGTCAGTCTACGATGAATAACAACTTGAAATAATTCCAAATCTCCACAACTCCCTCAAAATTTAATTGAACTGGTGGTCATTGGTGACTAGTTTCGAGAAGTATTCCCGAAGTTCCAATGACAAGTCGTGACCGGTGGAGTCAAAGCCCGATGGCCATGAGGACAAATACTCAGCGATGACATTGGGTGGCGGTTGCGCTATATATCGTGAGCTAACAGAAGTTGGAAGTATGGAGCATTGGATTCTGACCCAGTGGCTAGCTCAATGGTAACGCGGTGGCCGCGGAACCTGAAGGTCGCGGGTCCGATCCCTGTTGGTGTGGGGTCGTGGGTGCGCACTGCTGAGGAGCCCTATACTAGGACGAAACAGCTGTCCAGTTCTCCCAGGTTTCCTTTGTTCCTCCAACTGATGTCAGTCTACGATGAATAACAACTTGAAATAATTCCAAATCTCCACAACTCCCTGAAAATTTACTCAATTTCAATCAGTGATGTGAACAAAATTGCAATATGAAACATCATTGTAGTAAAAAAGGTTCAGAAAAAGATTAAAAACATCGATTCCTACAATAACTGTATTTTGATGTGGATTGTATAACCAGTTATTGACTGCAGGATTGCTTCTGAGGTAGTAAAAAAAGGTGTGGTTTAAAACGCTTGGTGACATAACACATAAATGCTTTACAAATATATAAACCTACTTATATTACATTCTTCTACACTATCTTTCTTACTAACTGCTGTAATTATCAAAAAGCATTTTTATTGCCCTCCCATGTTTTGTTTTTTTTACTGTTGAAAGAATGTGCATCCCCGTTATGAATATTATTCCTATTACTCGACCTGCCTGCAATAATAGTCATTATAGGTTATGAAATTCAAAAACAACTGTTACCGCATAACAAAGTATCATCAAGTTTATCTTATGACTGTTTTAAAAGGATACAAAAGAAAAAAAGTCAAACAAAATGTCCAGAATAAGTTGGTAACAACAATAAACTAAGTATAGACATAGCTGATCAACTAGCCAATCCACCAATTCAGTCAAGTGATTATAGAATATATGAAACAAAACTGTATTTTGTCTACCCATAGCAAATATAATGTCAACACACAGACACACACTGTAGTCACTGTCAGTATATATGATGATAAGTATGTGTATATAGGTATTAGCTAGACCACTAACCAGTCTAGTGGATATGGTAACTGTTTAATTATCACCTTTAAAAGAAATACATCTAGTAGTTTCGTTTTCTTATATTAATACACAACTGTCGCCAAAACAATTCAGTCTAGAAGAGTCGCATTAAAGTCAAATAAAGTTTTATTTATTTATTTGTTAAATAGCCTGCCTTAAGAAAAATAATAATGGTGATACACCATCCATTACATGCATACTTATATCCATATTCAGCAGTATGAAAAGGAGGAAAAATGTCTCAACAGGTAAGACATAGCAGAATGCATTACTATTTCATAGGTACTTAGATTTTAAACCTACAGATTTATGTATATTCTATTTCACTTCCATATACTACTCACAGTAGTACAATTAGAAAGCAAAACTAAGTGCAGTCATTATAAAAACCGATTGTACACATCACGTTCATTTTCACAAGTAGTGAAGAAGAAGGAAGAAAGAAACATTGAACGCATCTATCATTGGACAGCATGTAAAAAGAACCTATATCTATCCATCTACTGATAATCAACACTGATCGACTATTGATGTTATATGTTTTATGCTGAGTTGTTGCACAATCGAACGATAAGTTTTGTTGCCATCTCATAGCATTTCGATTACTGGATGAGAAACACTAAGAAACTGATTACACGGATTAAACACGAGTGAAGTACCACTGAAAATCCACAGTTCTTTATTCATGTTGCATACAATAATCGGATAAGTTTTTAATACAATAAAATTCCTAATATGACAACAATAAACCTAGTTTTCACGTATTATTGTCCTCATCACCACCACCAGAGTGATCTTCAGAATAACCGAAAGGAGATGAAACACTATCAGTCAATCCATTTCAACATAGATTGACGAGCAATACTGCATAATTGTTCAAGTTACCACATCTTACATAAGCACATCAAGCTAGAAGATACCAAAATAGGAGATAGAAAAACAGGCAAGAAGGTAAGTAGAAAGTCATGAGAAGAGAAAAAAAGCAATAGATCAGAAACAAAATATGCTA